ATATATATATATATAGCTGATTGGATGTATGTATAAATATTTGATAAAATCTGATAAAATTATTAAGCATCCACAAATAGTTTAAAGTCAGATAACATTTTAAGAAAACTAAAAAAAACATTAAAAAGTCAAGACTTTCACAACATTTTCTAATGACTAGATATTTAATGATGATTTACAAGTACTTACAGTTTAGCATCTGAGCACATTCGAGAAGGGAAGTATAGTTGTCATTTTCCTGCAAAATGTCTACAGAGACTGTAGAAACAATCGTAACGCCCTCTATTACTGCCATTGTCTGTATCTGAAAAGGAAACAAGAACAAACTACCTGTCATTTTGACACATTCCCTAAAAAAGCTCTTGGTTTTCTGTCTCTTTCGAAACATTAGCAGTCTTACCTGTTCCTCAGAAATCTCCACCTCCATGTCACCTGCGTCCTCCTCGGCTCCAGTGATCCAGCGCTCTGGAGGGTGAGCAGTGAGGCTGTGCTGCAGCAACTTCAGCTGTCTCTCCCACAACTCCTGCCTCTGACTCCTCTGCACACCAAATACTGTTCTTTTTAGCAGCATCATATGACCCCTTTAAAAAGAATTTACTTAACCTCAAACTGAATGTAATGTTTCTGGACACTTAACTGCATGTTATTTTTAATTAAATGCTATTAGTACCTCTTTATATGTTATTTCATAATTATTTCTATTGTCTCTATTATTATTGTCTCTACTGCATTATTTCTATTGTGCAATATGTTTAAAGTGTACTGTCAAATGTACTGACAAACATTTATGGTAAACTAAACATTTTAATGTAGTTTCTACTGAAAAGTTGTGTCATGTAGTTAAATATATTTGTAATGATAATTTTGCTATTTAGTACATTTAAATCATTTTCTTATGTAATATTTAATAACTCACTACAAATAAAACTAAAAACAAGTACGTGTTTTAGTATTAGACAACTCAAAAAATTTGCTTATTTAAAGCATGTCAAAACGATTGTGCACTTAAGTGTGTTTAAGTAACAGTCATGAAAATATAATCTCTTAAGTAATCTTAAATGGTCTTTTGGTTATATTATTACTTTATTTGCAAGTACAGTTTTTTATGTAACGTTACTTCAAAGGTTTGAATCTCACTACACGTGCACATTCAATACACTTACTGGCAGAGAGCGTTGTAAACACGACTCACATGTAATCTGATGAAGTTCAGAAAATCCTGGACGTGCTCATGATGCACAGATTCCAGAAACTGCTTTCGTTTCGACATTTCGCTTACAGTCCTACCAGACAGAAGAGAAACAGAAACACAATTACTACCAGAGCCGTTGAGAGAGATGGCTCTGATTACTACGCACTTCGGCGAGTAACACTTATGTTTTATTTTATATTATTGTCCGTTCACAGCAGGGGCGTAACGTTAGCACCAAACGTTGGGTCCCGGTCACACAACCAAGGAGGTGGGCCCCTCATAACACAACACCACATCACTCATATTAACAATAATAATCAGTATATTATGTGCCCCCTACTCGCCAAGGGCCCCTGTTACTCAGTTCCACTATTACCCCCTGTCCGACGCCCCTGGTTCACAGGATGAGGTTATGTATGCAACAGCGCAAGTATTAATATAACATTAGCTTCGACACGGAAGGCTTTTGTTTCGCATACGCAGAACAAAGCATTATTTCCTAAACTATATCAGCTCATATAACAGCAAATTACAAATATATATTTTCCATCAGAGCACACCTACCGAGTTGTTTACTCCGTCCGTTTCAATGTTCACCCGCTCAAAATTAAAGAAGCGTCATGACGTCAGGCGTAACGTTTCATCCTCGGCGTGCTGATGTGACAGCGCCACCTGCTGGAGGGGAGATGGACGGCGCTTGAGTTTAAATGCAATGGAGTTCATCGATATCTCTATTAAAAAATATTTTCTAAATTCTGTATAACGTTATTTATATGATTCTTAACACGCATCCATCCTGGAATGGTCGAACTGAGACCTGTAGAAGAGAGTCTTGCATCTGTCCCCAGTCCCAAGCAATCAGATGTTGATGACCACAGCTGTACATCTAAAAATGTTGCCTCTGTTGGAACACAGTGGGAAGACCACATCTTCGAGGAGCATTGTTACATCAAGAGACAACACATTGTAACTTATGTAAACCAGTCAACGCAGTGCGATACATTCAAGCCTCCTACTCTGATGAACGACTATGACTCAAATCTGTACTCTCCACAGATTTACGCTCCCTCTCCACACATTTCATACCCTTGTAGCTGTTTTGCGTCCCCATGAGAATCTGGCTTACCAGACCGAAATTGAACAGCAAATCTTGCTCACACTAATGAAGCTGAAATTAAACCTATTAATAGAAGATCTACACTAAAGAAGCTGAAATTAAACCTATTAATAGAAGATCTAGCAATTCAATTTCCGTATATCAGTGAGTAAAGTGAGCAGGATCATTTCTTTTTGGATTGACACCATGGCTGCAGTCTTGAAGGATCTGATACCATGGCTCCCCAAAGAAACCATCAGGGCCACAACACCAGAGGCATACAAGCAACATTATCCCAATGTTACCTGTATCTTAGACTGCAGTGAAAGTGAAGTCCAAAGACCAGGGAACCTAGACTCAAGGTCTGAATCGTACAGCCACTACTATGCTTGCAACACTATCAAGTATTTAGTGGCTATTGCACCATGTGGTCTAGTAATGTTTATATCTGCAGCATATGGGGGTCGCTGTAGTGACAAATTTATCACATGTGATTCTGGCATTCTTGAATATCTCCATCCAGGAGATGAAGTGATGGTGGACAGGGGTTTTTGATACATTGGCATTGTAGCATTTTTCCAAAAAGACTGTTTTTTAATTCAAAAAGTGGTTTTGTATCTGAAGAATTGACTCTCTCCCTGAAGTCTTGATGTGTGTCATAGTTTGGTGTAGATGGTAGCCTTTCTCCCTCCCTTGTTGATGATGCACCATATACATCATCAGCTTTGTGACGTCTAAATGTCATCTGACTAATTCTTTTCTGTTCAAGGTTTCTTCTGGTTCCTGCATTCCATCTAGCAAATCTGTAATGGGAACGCGCCTACTGTTTCAGAGCGCGAATCAAACCGGCCAGGTCACGTGGTTTTAGCAAACGAAGCTTCATTACGTCACACTGTTTCCGAAACGTTTCGAAACTCCGATGGTTCACCACTAGGGGGTGTTGATCTCAAAGTGATGTTGTGGGTTAAACAAAAGATAACTTCCCTTTAACACGGATGGCTATACAGTTTAAAAAATGAGTAAAAACACATTGTAGGTTGTCTTTCAACCTACAAATCACATCATACCTTAAAGATAACAAGATGAGCTTACGATAGAATTAAATCCACCTCCTTCTCCTGACTGATAACACTACTCTTGCCTGCTGGTTTTCATAGATGGCTATAATGAAAACACTTAATTAATTAAATAATTAAATAAATCAATTAATTAAATAATTAATTAAATTCATTGTGTGTTGAGTTTGATTATACTTAAATGAAACACATAACACAAGCACTAATATTTAATAGTATTTAAGTGTTTATTATTTATTTAAAAAAAAATGGTGTTTCTAAAAAAACATTTCCATTTGTTTTGTAAGTTTGGTCCGAGTTCTTTACAAGGTTTTCACCAGCAGGTGTCGTTTTTCGAAGCAACTGGTTCAATTGATTCTATGCTTCGAAAAGCTTCGTTTCTCCCATCACTAGCTTAAACACCTTCCACACAAATTTATCAAAATATTCCTGGGATTTGGTGCATTTTATGTCCCCAGTAAAGATCATGATATTATTGCCTTAAAAATTTCAACAACATCAATTTTGAAGTTGTCTTTGATATAAAACACCTTGTGAACTTTAAGCATATTTACGTTTTTATTTATAGCTATATAATTCTAAACATTTCACAGCATTTTAAACCACCAAATATCACCATTTTTACTATGTCCCCAGGCCCGCGGTCTGCCATTTTGATAAGTACAACACTCAGAAAACCTAACAGGCTGGACACATTTAGTGTACATAGCGATAGTGACAGCGATTGATGTTTAAGTTGAAGAAGTGGTGTATTTAAACTTTTTTTTACATTTTAAAGGTTAAATTTTACATATACATAAATATTTAAAATTGTTGTTCATTTGTCCCTAACAGGGTGGACGTTTTTGGACCACCTCCTCATTTAATTTGGCTTATAATTGCTTGAATTTATATACCTAAGGTTGTATATACCATATATTTATATACCAATTTATTTTTCACTTTTTACAGCTCCCTATCAGGATTGCACAAGAATTTACTAAAACATTTTTTTTTTTTTAGTGTTATGATGTCAAAAAGGCACTGAATCCCAGGAATGACCCGGCCTTAAAAACAAAAGTACAAATAGACACAAAATTAAAATAACTGTTTAAACAATTAAGGTAATAACATGCATTCAGGCCCTTCAACTCTAAAATGGGTTAAAGTTACAAGTTCATTGTGATTCATGTTGCATTTCATATTTTAATTATATCATGCATAATGCATAGAGAAGAATAAGGCTGGAAAACATATCAACAGCCATTTCACAGTCTTGAAACAATCCAAAACACTTTGTAACCAAGCTATTATCATCTTACAAATGTCGCATACTAAAAACACATTTTGCTTTTCCTCATAAAACTCTTGCAGACAAAACGGGTATCAAACATTTCTTTACAGGCTGTTCATCTTGTGTTGTGCAACAGGATACAGTAAAATACTTTAAAAATAAATTATCAATGGATCATTTATGAAGAGCTGAACATAGCTTGGTTTTTCTGTAACTGTAAAAATCTAAAGAAAAAAAATCTAAAGAAAAGGAAATGTTCATACATACATATATACATACATACGTATAGCCTTTCTTTTGCACTTGCAACCTTGCAACCATGTCTTTGGCCACGTGTTTTGTGTAATATACTGCCTCAAACAAACAACAATGCTACAATAACATGTCTGACTTACCAGCAACATAACATTTTTTTCTGATTGATTGCTTACAAAACATAGTATTAAAAAGAAATCAAAAAGTTTAATAATATTATCAAAATAACTTGAATACAATAAATAAAGGCACATTTAATAATAAATCTAATGATCTTTTTGTCTACTGTTGTTTCATAACTTCATGGGCAACCATTTTTATCTGATAAAAAGTGAAGTTATGCGACCAAACACCAATAAGATGAATAAAAGGATAAAATAAAAAAGACTATCAGATTGAAAGTAAGCGGGACAGATGCTTCAGGTGGCAATTTTAGCTTTGGTGAGAATGAGAGAGACACTTTGTAGGCCAGTGTAAATCCCAGTAGAAGTAGCCTGGTTTAGTTAGTCCAGCACTGCTCTTCTGCTACTAAAGCCTCTACATTATCCTGTGCATGCCGTGACATGTCCCAGTTATCTGCTGTTCCATTCATTTCTGCTTTCTAGCATGGACCACTACATCTGAATTATCTTCTTCGAGCCATCCTCCGTTAGATGATACCTGAGAGATAAAGGAAGCTTTTGTAATCAAGAAAAAGTACATTTACAAGAGTGACTGTATGAATAAATGAGAATCACACCATTGAGTCCATCCTTTCGAAATGTCTTCACTTGCCAAGTCCACAAGTGCCTATGACAAAGACAGCTGTAAGCCTCCATAAAAATCCAGTGATCAGCTGAATGAGAAAAAGTACGTAGGACTGTGAATCCATCAATGTTTTTTTTTTACCTTGCCTAGTAGTACTTTGTGTTTGGACAACAGTCCTCCTCCATTCTTGACAGCGACATCCAAAGTTCTCCTGTGCAGTTCCACTATAGACACACTGAACTCAAAGCTGACAAAAGTAACACAACAAGATAGTAACTGTTACTGCAGTTACTGGTTTACTATGCTACATGCATCTCTGCACTTGAATATGCAGGCAACTGGGATCATAAAACCTTCAGTAATGCAATTATACAAAAAGAACATTTCTCAGAAACATTGGCAGTTGCATCATACAGAATATTATAAAGTCTTGGTTGACTTGGTTTGGAGGGTAAAACAGTTAGCTAGCTCTGTTCAGTAAGAAGCTCCGCTGTGGATTTAATATGAAGGGAATGTCATGCAAATGCATACAGCAAGATAAACAGCAGACACGAATTGGATCTGGTGGGTCCTCTTCTCATTTGAATGCAATTTAAATTAGTTAAAGACGTCACTATGTCTGTAACCACATTAGGTTTGACGTGAATACTATCAGTAAAATGTATATTAGTATGCTAAGACAATTAGCAAAAGTTCTAAAAAAAAAAAAAAAACACTAATATATTACAGACTTTATATATCAGGATTTTTTCAATCCTTTTTCAGGATTGTGAAAAAGAAGTGTGCTTAATTGTACTAAATGTGCAGTGTACTTCAAAAATTAAAAGCCTAATAAAAAAAAAAAAACTGTACTGTCAAGATTTTTTTTAATGAAATGTTTAATAATGTTTTAATAATCTATTGTTGCGTTTAAATAAATACATTTCATTTATGTATTATGTTGACTACCATACTAAAGCACATGTAGAGTACTTGATTTTTTATTTTAACTGTAGTGTGTAATTCGATATTACGATATCAAGTAAATATAGTTTAAATTTAATGAACTGCTACTTCATTATTACAAATGTGTAATTGCAAATATATGTAAATACATTACATATGTTTCATAAGTTTCAATAGAAATTGCATCAGTACTATAAATGCTTGTTAGTATTTCTCAAACATATTTCAAGACAATAGAAGTAATTATAAATTTACATAAAGATGTACTTAAGTCTTATTAAAGTGGGTCAAAAACATTCTAAAGTTCAGCTAAATGCATTTCATATGAATTTAAACTACAACACATTTTCATTTAATTGCAATTAAGTGTCAGAAAACATAATCCGTTTGCACTTGCGTACATTCTTTCCTTAATAAGTAATCTTGTAAAAAAAGATGTACACTTTAGAAAACTTTTTCTTTTGTACCAATTATAAAAGGTCTTTTGAACCAATTATTATAAAGGACCTAATTTGAAATGGTCTGTGTGCTTAGTGTGTTTCTTACGACTGGTCGTAGATAGGATTGAGTGTCTTCTTGAGTGTGCTGGTTTTTCTGCAGCCACTCCGGCTCTTGTCTGGTAACAGGTACAGACGGATGTATGGGTCTGAACCATCTTTAGTCAGTGCTATGAGGTTTCTGTGATTAAGACACAAGGAAACATATTCACACAAAAGCAAAAGTAGTATTTTCACAAGGACTTGTTGAATCACATTTATACAAATTCAAACATATAAATGCAAACACATGTCCCTCATTATTTGCACACACTGTTGTTGATGTTCAAGAGAGTTAAAAAAAAAAAAAAAACACTAATATACTGGATGTGTTCAATGTAAAAGTAAAAAATAGGCTAAAATTAGCAAACAAAATGATTGGAAATGGTACTATAAAACACAGAAAGATGAAGGTTAATGTGTATGTGGCAGTCTCACCTGCAGGCATGAACCACTACAATAAGTTTATTTCTTTGTGAGCTGTGTCGGATAGTGAGCTGGACTTCACCGAGTGGATACTGTCTCAGCCCAGAGCCGCTGTAACAGAAACAGCAAGTTTATCTGACAGTGTGTGAGAGCGAGTTAAGAAATTGTTTTTCTTCTGACAATTCAACATGAATTCAAAATACAGTATATTTACAATATTTACTTTAAGGCTGCATTTATTTGCTAAAAAATACAGTAAAAACAATATTGCTAAATATGATTACTATTTAAAAATAACTGTTTTCTATTTTAATATATTTTAAAATGCAATCTATTCCTGTGATGACAAAGCTGCATTTTCAGCAGCCATTATTCCAGCCTTTGTTGTTACATGATCCTTCAGAAATCAGGATTCTTTGATAAATAGAAAATTTCAAGAACAGTACTTACTGTATTTGAAACAGAAATATTTTGTAACATTACAGATGTCTGTACTGTCATGTTTGATCAATGTAATGCATCCTTGCTGAACAAAATTATTAATTTCTTTCAAAAAATATAAAAAAATCACTGGCCACAAACTTTTGAATGGTAGTCTGTAATATTTAGTATGAATATGCAACATTCCTGCCAAAATACTCCAGTTTGTGTAAACTCGTGGAAATGTTTGTTTGGATTGAAAATCCTCCTACATTATGTCTGTGTTTTCTCCAGTTTTCCTCAGTGTGGTTTAGATTGTTGGGTCTGTTTAATACAGTTTCAACTATCTGAGCAACTTGGATGTCATAAGTGGTTTGTAACGGAATCAGCGACAAATACAAATGGATCATGTCACGCTTCCCACTGTTTCACTGCTCAAATTGGTCTGGGTGGCTCAGCAGAGACCAATCTGCTCAGCGCTATCCAGTCAGGCATGCCGTGTTGTTCATTGGGCAGTGCAGATAAATGGTTTACACTGCACTGGGTACTACTTGTGTCTCACTTTTGGCTATATTTTGGCTTTTAGTGTTTCTCAAACACAGCAGAAAATAGTCACCAGTGTGGCTTCTAACAAAATTGAATTACACTGACAGGAAAAAAGCAAAACCCAAACAACTTCTGTATATAGGTATCAGCGTGTCACGGACACAGACTCACTTTTGTAGCTTCTGTAACCTCTGCTGCAGTTCCAGTGTGCCAGACGGCAGTGAAATGTCAGAGGCCAGACTAGGTGTAGAGTCTCTGTGAGACTGATGCTTGTGCAAGCTGCTTATCTCCAGACTGGAGATGCTGCGGCCTGCCTCTGCTAACCGCACCGGGGAGCCATCAGATCCTCTTTTCCCATGAGGGGTGTCCGGTGCGAGGGTACAAGATGGGTTTTGTGATGGCTGGATGACTGTGGAGTTGCTGGTGCTAGTGACTGTTTGAGGTTGAGGAGTCACGCAAGAGTTATTCTGACTACTGTGTCTGACCCGGACAGAAGACGGCTGGCTGGATGTGACCTCCTTCTCTAAACAGAGGACCTGTTTACACAAAAACATATTTATATGGAAAAAACATACTGACACAAGTGCTGAAATGAGACAATGACACAAAAATGAGACAATATCTTTTGATAGCATACAGACACACCAACCCTGAGAGCCATTTTGAGTTTGAGGGTGCTGCTGGGGCCAGAGTTCTGCAGGGGGAACTGCTGATTCAGCGTCATATCTGCCTCCTTCAGGAGAGAAGCAACTGCCACCCGCACACTACCCAGAGAGCACTTGTGCTTACTATCCCTCACCTGAGACACACAAACAACATCTATGGAATACGCTGTCTACAATCTTTTGAGGAGTTCTCAAAATGAACAGTAAATAATTCTAACCAACTCTACATTATAGCAATACATTTGACACTGATGATATACACTATCGTTCAAAAGTTTGGGTCTGAAGGATTTTTTCATGTTTTGAAAGGAGTAATAATCATCTTTACTGTAACCTTTTACCAATTTAATGTGTCCATGTAGAATCAAAGTATTAATTTCTTTTTTTTAAATCTTAAACTTTTGAAGCCCTAGTGTAAGCTACAGTAGACTTACATCATTAACATTATCTTAGTAATTTTAATATTCATGCTTTTGGGGTGTTCCCTTCTAGAATACCTCAATTTCCAGTTCCTGAGTGCGGGGGTTGTTGATAAGGAAGTGAAAAGCCTCCTCCCACAGCGGCTCACTAGTTTTAAACCTCACCTGAAAATCAGGAGCAAAACAGGACTGGATATATGTATATTTCTAGTCTTGAACATGTTAAAGCCGATTAATGAATGTTACCTTGCTTGTGTACATCTTTTGTCCTACAGTCAGTTTGACAAAAGGATTTGGATCTATGCTCACTTTTTTCCCAGACTGTTGAACAAAAATAGAAAGAAAACATTCAATTGTACAGTATGATATGACATACCAAATATGACAGTCAACAAAATCTACTTCAGCTCTTTGGTAACATGAGCTGATTATACTAGCCTGGTTCATTATAATTACATCATAGCTCATTTAGCCTTTTAAAAGTTATGTTCTTACTACTAGTGCTTCGTTGTAATAAGGTTATTTTAAACTCATCTATAAAAATGTAAATACCAGCAATCTAAAGGCAAAAAGCCTCGTTTAATTTTCTCAATTCAATAAAGACATGAATAAATTAAGTAAAACAACTTATACAGTAGTATATTTATAAAAATATATATATATATTTAAAGTATATTTGTACTTCTATAACATCTGCTAAATCTTTAAACACATGCAGTGGGGCATGAGAGAAGAATACATAGGAGAAGCAATTAAAAAATAATCCGAAATCAAAGAATGAAACAAATAATAAAAGACGTGAAATCATGCTTGGGGTCCAGATGCAATGCAATGCTTGTTATGCATGTCACTGTATAAACGGCATGCAGTCTCAATGTACCTTCAGGCCTTTATAAGGGGGTTTGGGGACATCAGGGTTAAAGTCAAGAGGATTGGTCTTTCCACAGGAAGTATTGAGAGAAATTGAGAATAGGACGGTTAACATACAGCAAGAGGACATGCAAGAATGATAGTTCGATTGGTCCAGCCTTACAGATTTCTAATAAAAATTACAAATACATATGCATATCGAATCAGTGTAACAAGATTGGCAGGGACAAAAAGAGGAAAAAAAAAAGTTTTGTCCTTTCTCTTTAGACTGCTTACTAAGTCTAGATCAGGATACGTCAATCATATGTCTAAGAATGACCAAGCTGTATTTAGATCAATCATGTGACTTAATGTGACAGTAAAAATAAATGGGTGAATGAAAGCTATATATTTAAACCTTGGCTTCTGACAGTCTGATTAAACACAAAATACATGTAATAAAAATATACATACATACTCAGTTACTGAGCAATTAGAATGGGACAAAGAAATGTTATGCTCATAGTTTATTGGTTGACAATTACAAGCTACACATGCCCAACAGGCAGTGGTGGACGAAGTACACAAATCAAGTACTTGAGTAAAAGTATAGATACGTATAATAAAATATTACTCCCCGGCAAAAGTGGAAGTTTGCATGCATCAGATCAACGTACTCTGTGTTGTTCGTTTGTTACTAAAGAACAGCTTGAATGGAAGCAATGTCTACACACAAGGTTAGATAAACAGCTACAGCTAGATCAGGAGAACCAGGATGCAGATTACTGGCAAACTCACAAATAACGTTCTATAGAGAGAGTCGGGGTTCTCACAAAAGACTAGACCAGAGGCCCTCCTCTCCTTTAGGTTTCCACAGCCAAAGCTGCCCTCAAAGACACTCTTACAGTAGAGGAGGGAGGCACAATGTAAAGCACTAATAAAGTCGGCACTGTACATCAGTCGTCGCAAACTAATAATACATAATTCTATGGCCGCATAATTAAAAGGTGTCAGTTAAATAACAAACATTCCTTAAAATGATGTTTAGCCCACAAATTCCAATATTATTTTGGACTCCATTGACTTTCATTGTATGCACAAAAATAGTTGGACTACAAGATATCTTATTTTGTGTTCTGCAGAAGAAAGCAAGTTTTGGAACGACATGAGGGTGAATAAATGATGACAGATATTTCATATTTGGGTGAATAATATCTTTAGGGGGAAGCAAGACGATAATTGCACCTTGCAAGATACAGCCTGGGGAACAACATCAGTGCATGTAAATCATTAGGGTGTGTAAATCTGCAGCTTGTTCACATTTGTATTCATATCAAAGTAGACTATTATAGAACATAAATAACACTTTCAAGCATTTCATAAAAGTAGAACATAAAAATAATGAAACTGAAAGTAAACAAAAATGTAAAACATGTATCTGCTGCAGGACATCAGAAAATATTGTCCTATGACAGATCCTCAGACAGAATCTATGTACACTCCTCACTCTTGTTCTTACCGGCAAATTACTGGCAGAGTCCAGGTAAACAACTAGCAGAGCTGAGGAAAGATTTTCATTAGCCCTTATGCTCCTTAATACCTAATAAGATAGAAAAGAGCAAATGATGATGACAAAAATTAATCGATATGATGTTTAGCTAGTGTATGTTTAAACATGTCGGTGTCATTCGATGATTGTGTATGTGTATACCTGGTATTCCCTACATTATGGGGACCAAATGTCCCCACAAGGATAATAATACCAGTTAATTTTGACATTTGTTTGGTCCCCATGAATAAACAAGCTTATAAATCATACAGAATGAAGTTTTTTGAAAATCTGAAAATGCAGAAAGTTTTGAGGTAGGTTTAGGTTAAGCGGATAGAAAATATAGTTTGTACAGTATAAAAGCCATAAAAACTATAAAAACCATGGAATGTCCCATTAATGATAGGAATACCAGTGTGTGTGTGTTTGTGTGTGTGTGTGTGTGTGTGTGTGCGCGCACATACTTGAT